AAGGCGCTGTGCGGCTGGCTGAAGATAGCAGTGAGAAGCTGTACTTCAGAGGACTCTGGGGCACCATCTGCGCCGACCACTGGACTGACTGGGATGCCAGTGTCGTCTGCAGGCAGCTAGGTCTCAGGTGGGAACCTCAGTCCGGTTGTGGGAGTTACACCCTCACATGGCCTTGGAAAGAACAGCCTCTGTGGTTACAGTCCCTCTGCCACAGGGTGTGGGCTGGAGGAAAGGAGTTTATTTTATGGGCTTGTTTCCCGCTTACCAGGGTCCTTTCCTACTGGTTTCTTTCTGTGGCTATGCCTAACCCCAAGCAGCATTTGCAAGGATTTTTGAAAGCAGTAGTTTCTGCTCAGTGCTCAAGGCTGCGCTGAGGGAGCTGTGAGACTGTGTCCCCCTTTTAGTATTACCAGCTGGAGTCACTGCAGCGATCTGTTAGAAATTTTGACAACAGGAACCTGCTTTGGGAATCTGGGATTTGGACCTGCAAACTTCCAAACACAGGGAGATAAGGCCCACAGAGGAGGAAGATGGTGGTTCTGATGCTTGGATGTTCCAGTCAGTTGAGGAGTCCGTTTATCACTCTCAAATGAGGGTGCCATTTCTGACCAGAACAACTCCTCTGCAAGAAGCAGGAGGGCAAAATGGGTTAGAAGTGATGGGAAGTGCTTTGTGCTTGCTTGGGCTTTCCCATTAGACTGTACATGGCCACTGCTTTATGCACTCTCACCTGGGCTCACTGGGATGTGAGATGCCACAACTGGGCTGGAGGGTCACAAGAACTGAGGGGACCTTGTGAGTCAAGCAGTGCTACAGCATTTCATCGCTCTGTTGCTCTCTCTGTACCAGTGAGATCGGCACAGCTGGGAAGAAGACTCACCCCGGACCGTGGCCTGTTCCCCTGCACCTGCAGTCAGCGAACTGCCACGGGGATGAGAAAGCCCTGCTGCAGTGTGGCTACCGGGAAGCGGTGCCTGGAGCTTGTAACCAGGGCAGTGCCATGGTAACCTGTGTCCCTCCAGAAGGTAAATCTCCAGGGGAGGTTCCCTCCCTGATTCTGGCATCCGTGTTGCTGATAAGATGTAAAATCTGAGGTTGTGAAGCTGTGGAGAGCAAGTCATTGCAGCATATTCTTCTTTCACCTGCTATACAGGTGTTTCCCTTCCTTCCAGTGGAAAATTCTCCATCCTTTCCCAATCCCAGATACTCAGAGTGGGCACACTTCTGCAGTCACTGAAAGATGGCTGTTGCTTATGACCACCTCCTCTTTTTATCAAACTGTTTTTTTGTCTGCAGGCAGCAAAGTCCTGGTCACTGTAGCAGCCCATTAAAGAGCCATCCCTGGCCCAGCAGCACCCCACGCTCTGGGCTGCAATCACGGGTTCTTCTGGGGGGCTGAGAGGGGAGGATGCATTAGAGTGGGACGAGAGCATCCCAGGAGCTCCTCTGGCTGGTGACTGGTTCTACGCGTTGAGCTGCTGGGTGTGATTTGTCTCTGTCTTGTCCTGTTGTGCTCTTTTTCCCTTTCTTGAAGTGCAGGTGTAGGTGCCCCGCTGCGTTTAGTTGGGGGAAAGGAGAGCTTTGAAGGGCGAGTGGAGGTTTACCATGACGGCAAGTGGGGTACCATCTGTGACGACCAGTGGGACGACCGGGATGCTGAAGTCGTTTGTAGGCAGCTGGGACTCAGGTAATTTCCCTGCTGTACGTCATGGAGTGGTAATAGGGGTAGGCAAAATGAAGAACGTGGGAGCACGTCCCTTCGCTCTATTACCCGCCCTCTCTATAGGAGGTACACATAAACGCTGGGAAAGATAATTCCGGAGTGATCATCCCATAAAGGGATTTTGTACTCAATTCCTGTCAGTTGTGTGGGTTTATGCTGTGAAAAAAAGAGTTGGTACAGCCCTGTCTAAGGTTTGCTTGTGTTTGTCCCTGTTCATCATCTTCACACACGTGTCTAAATGCAAATCTTGGCCTTGGTGATAACTTGTCATGGTGATTTCCGTGTGTGAACTGCAGTTGTTTACTTGGTTAAGCTTAAACACCTCCGGTTTCACTGCCTGCCCTTACCCTCGTCAGTCAGCAAAGTGAGATAGCACACCGCGTTCTGCTGTGTGCCATTCAGCTATGAACATGGGAGCTGCCATGTATCGAGCGTTCTCTAAAATCGTGTTGGTGCGGACTTGCTTACGATAGATGATTCAAGCTGGAGATCCCTCAGACTGTGGGAGTTTTGCCTGTCACTGAGACGGAAACATCACTGTCCTCAGGACTCCCCGGGTGTCTGAACTGTTTATGTTGTTTTTTGTTATTTGTTGGAAGGTCTTGGTAAAAAACTTTCCAGGAAGGTATTTTGGTTAACAGTGGGCAACACCGCTGTGTCAGAAATACAGATTATCTATAGGAGGACGCTGGAGAGTCTGCAAGGCAGAATCTGAGCGCGCAAGACTGCGACCTTCCTTACTGAGCATATGTGTCTGTACCGTCTGCAGCGGGAACCCGAAAGCCTTGTCGTGGGCCCACTACGGGCGGGGAACTGGCCCAATCCTGCTGGATGAAGTAGAGTGCTCGGGCAATGAACTCTCGCTTGACCAGTGCAAGAAGAGCGACTGGGGACAGCAGAACTGTGACCACATTGAAGACGCTGGGGTCTCCTGTGACCCTTTCACAGGTGCGGATCTGCAGCTCTGTGCCAGTCGGGTGCGGCCGGTCGTGCTCCCACATGACGCGGCTTGCTTGGCAGATAACCCCCTGCTTCGGGGTCCCGCAGGGCTGCTGCCTCTGGCTCCCACAGGGCTGTGGAGGCAGAGAGCAGGCAGCAGGTGGGAACGGATTGGAGCCAGGCTCGGGGATGCTCCTGTGGCGTTCCACGAGTGCTGTGGAAAGGCTGAGCTGAATCCTGCCCTGACAGATGGGCACTCTTGGGAGCAATGAGTGCTTATTTTTTGAGGACCCGCAGCTATCTGTGTCTTTGGTTTCCTACACTCATGGGCTGCAAAGAGCCTTCAGCAGCGGGGCACGGGCTGTTTCGTTTCTCCTTGGCTGGGTGCTGATATTCCCTTCTCCCCCCCCCTTGCAGAGGGCACCGTCAGGCTGGCCGGCGGCCGCGGCCCCAACGAAGGCAGGGTGGAAGTGTATTACAATGGAGACTGGGGCACAGTGTGCGATGATGGCTGGACAGACCTCAGTGCCCAGGTGGTCTGCAGGCAGCTGGGCTTCAGGTAGGGTTGAGAGCGTGCATAGTGTCCGCGCTTCGTAATTTCAGGGATTAGATTCCAGCCCTCCTCACTGGGATAGGCTAGACCTGGATCCTACAGTGCTGTCTTGTTACCATTACACAACTTTATTCAGAAAAGATTAATAGGTATCCACATCTTTTCCCAGGGGGAAAAATAAAAGTCTTTATTATCTCTTGCCTCAGCCTGTTTCCAATGCAGGTGACAGGCTTGATACTGTCTTTATGAACCCCTCGCCAAAGCCAGAAAATTCTCTCACTGCTCCTTAAATTTGCAGGAGTATCGGCTAAGCGCTGCTACCCGCTCTGCTCTGTCAGCTAAACGATATCCCCCACCTGCCCTGTCAGCGAAACACGTCACCTGCTTCAGCAGCTGAACAAAGACCATCAGGGCAAAAAAAGAGGAGCATTAGGGATTTTCGTAATGCTTTTCTTTCAGCCCATTGCTAAGCTGTTGTCCCTTCAGCTGTGGTTTTGGGGAAGACTTAAAATCAGGGTACTCTAGTCTTGGAGCCAGTAAAGGGTGTTTTTTTGTGGAATTTTTAGTATGATTAGGGTATCCTTGTAAAATTTCAGCTTTATAGGCTGAAAAAAAAAGACTAAACTAAATTCTTCCCTTTGAGTTCAGCTGCATACTGCGTTTGTCGTCTTCTGTAGTACCTAAAAGTTAGCAGCTTTCCGCGTTCCAGTTCCAGGTAGCCGCTTCCTATGAAAGAAAGTAGAAATAATTAATTATGTTGATAGCTTTGATGCCTTCTGTGTTAGACACACTGCCAAATCGACGTACCTGGTGTCACGTCCGCAGAGCAGCCTCTGTGGAATAGCTGGCCCTCTGCGCTGCTCTGACTGCGCCTTCAGCCAGGCACTGGAAAGCGGACCGGAACGCCGAAGCTGGCGAGATGTGCAAGCTGCTTGGCTGCCACCCTGCAGTGGTTTAGCTCAGAGGGCCAACCAATACCACAGCGGAGCTCCGCAGGGGAGTTTCCCGTTGGGTCCGAGCTTAGGTCCCTCTGTGGCGTTAATGAGTTTTAACGAATCTCATGGTGTGTTCTGTTTCCTTCCTCTAGCGGTCCCGCGACCGTGGCCTCTGAAGGGGACTACGCTGCTGGCCAAGGCTTTATCTTACTGGATGATGTGGCATGCGTGGGGACAGAGCTGTCCCTCCTGGACTGTCCCCACAGCAACTGGGGGCAGCACGACTGCTCGCATGCCGAGGACGTGGGAGTCCGCTGCTCGCCCGAGAGCAACATGGCCAGGGACGGCAGCCTGGGTAACTCCCCGCTTGCCCCGGGTGAGGAGGAAAGTGTCATCTGCTGGTCCGTTCCTTTGGAAGCTCTGGCAGATGTGGGTGACATCCCCGTGCCGTTGCAGCGAGGGGGCTGCTTTTTGAGGGGAGCCCTGGGCGCCTCGGGGCAAAGCCACAGCTCCAGCAGACATGCGGCCAGCCCTGCGGAGAGGCTGAAGCTGGGGAGAATGGTGGTGGCGGTCTCCAAACCAAGCCCGAGAGGCTGAGGAACGGTGGCTGCCTTAGCATGCCCTTGCTCACCGATGAGGTGCCGCAGCCCCATGTCTGTGGGAACACAGGACCCCTCTCCCTAGACCCTTTAGGAAGCTGCTGTAGTTATGTTAGTGTCACTTCGCCAAGGCAAGAGGACTTTGGATGCAAGGGGCTGTTGTGTGGAAATTTGCACTCTCTTGTGTGGATAGGGTGTTTTTAATTAAAATGGTGAATGTATTTCAAGTTAGCAGAATTTCCTTGTTTATCTGAGGCCTGATACTCTCCACTTTCCCTGCTGCAGGAGACTTTCCAGTTTGTCAGACCTTTTTTATTGAAATAGCATCAAACATTTTCATTTTTCCTGGATGTAGAACTCCTCTTGCCTAGAAGAACATAATAGTTTTATAGTTTAATGGAACTATTTCCAAGGCATGTTTAAGCTTGTTCGCTCTTGGCTCGGGAGTTAATAACTTTCCTTCTGTGCTTGTTCTCTTTACTCAGCTTTCAGAATATGATCCACTAATGATTTCCAGTGTGTATTAAATAAATTAGTATCTATGTAGTCTTCTGATGCAGCACAGAGGTGAAATATGGGATATAGTCTTCGTATAGAAATGCTCCTTTTTTTTCTTTTATTCTAAGCTTACTGATATCTCTGATTCATCGTTTCCTATAGAACGCAAGCTCTGAGCACCTCACACTCCCTGGTGCTTTTGCTGGCGGTGACACGTGCGTTTTTTGCTGCAGGGCCTCCTGTGCGGCTGGTGGATGGAGAAAGCCCCAAGGAGGGGCGGGTGGAGGTATTCCTCCATGGGCAGTGGGGCAGCGTCTGTGATGGTGGCTGGACAGACAGAGACGCTGCTGTGGTTTGCAGGCAGCTGGGCTTCGGGTAAGAGCTCTGGTACCTGCTCCTGAGAGACAGAAGCAGCTCTCGGGGGGATCACTTCTTTCTGGACCTGTTTCTGGGGGCTTTGTTTCGTAGTTTTGGCACACCTGCATGTTCTTGAGTGAGCAGGGGCTTATTCTCACGGTGCCTTCAGCAAGCGCTGTACTACTGTCTGCGAGTGGAGTGACACAGAAACATTATTTCTCTTAAAATGTGCTGGTGCGTCAGGTTCACCCGCCTCCTGCTTACTGCAGATTCGCCACCCTCTCTCTAATTGCAGTGGTACAGCAAAAGCCAGGGCAATGGCTTATTTTGGCGAAGGCCATGGGCCCATCCACCTGGACAACGTGGAATGCAGCGGCACAGAGCACACCCTGGGGCAGTGTGTCAGGCCCAACGCTGGGATTCACAGCTGCTGGCACAGTGAAGATGCTGGTGTGATCTGTGACTATGTGGAAGAGAAGGTCCAAGACATCAGAACAGGTAACGTGCCCATTTCTTCTGTGCAGATATCTGAAGCTCCAGTGGTAGGATCTCTGCATGCTTTCATGCTTTTTCCCTGTGGTTCTCTTCTTTGGCTGAAACTTTACCTACAAAATAAGCATGTCCCATCCTGCACTCCACTTTTTTCCTTGTTTTCATTGTCTCTGATTAGGAGCACAGGGTGCTCCAGACTGGTCTGAGGAGCTCCACCCATGTCAGACCTTTGAGCCTGAAGAACTTGCCCACAGCCAAGTCACTGCACCCTTCCTTAGAGCAGTAACCATGAGCAAACTTTGGGTTTTAGAGCACTGAGGAAATAGCTGTAGAGATCCCATTCCTGACGTAAGACTACAGATACTGGAGGTAACCATCTCCGCCAAAACCGAGGAAACCTATGGGGTCAGATCTTCTATGGATTCCATACAGCACAGTGCGGTCCACTGCCATGAGGATTAACGCCCTCGGGGAAGGGGAATGGTAGTAGGCGCTGCGAGAGCGATTGTGCGTACTTAAGCCGAAGGTATCTACCCAGCTGCTCTAACTTCTCTGTGCAGGTCCAGAGTCTGGTGTGTGCGGGATGCGCCTGCTTCACCGTCGCAAGAAAAGGATCATAGGTGGAAACAAGTCTCTCAGGTACTACCCCATAATTGCTGGGAAAACCAGAACTGATTCCAGCTCTCCTACAGGCTCTGGAAATAGCCTGGCAAATGCTGAATACACATTGTCACTGGTGATTTTTGAACTTGATTTGAACCAGTCTAGGGAAGAATGCATGCCAGCTGAACCCAAATGGGGCAGAGTGGATGGGAAAAGAGGAAAACAGCTCCTCTGGATGTGATGCCTGTTATACCTCTGTTTCTTCTTCAGAGGCAGTTGGCCATGGCAGGCCTCACTACGGTTGAAGGGTTTTCGCCGAGATACTCGACTGCTGTGCGGAGCAACACTGATCAGCAGCTGCTGGGTGGTGACTGCAGCCCACTGTTTCAAAAGATGCATTTGTGAGAGGGGAGCCCCGAGGGTTACTCCATGATGAACAAGATAACCTCATACAAGGTCATCCTCCCAGCCCGGTGGAACGACATCAGCAAAGTTTCTAAACCAAGACCAAGGTTATGGTATCTGGGAGCTTGACTCAATATAGGCTTGCTTTATCCTTCACTGCTTACCCCCGCCCTCTTAACTCGGAGGCTTTACAACTTAAAGGGAACCAGCACTTTGCCATTCTTCAGCGCTTTAAGGAACTGTGAATACAAGGTCACACGCCTGTTGCAACCGCTGTGGCAGTTTTTTATAGGAAACTGTACTGTAGCGGTAATTTATAGAAAAAAAAAAAGTCTTGTACATGGTAAATAGTGATTTGGGACACCCACTGACTGCAAGAGCCAGCGTTATCACATCTGCTAGAGGTCCCACAGCCCTGTAGCTGGCAGTATTCTATCGGTCTGTGAGGTTTTTCCCTCTTAGTAGGGGCATCAAGATCCTGAGTCTCTTTTTTTTCTCCAGATTTGGTGTTGATGTGCGTCGCTACCTGCTGCGGGTGGGCGATTACCACACAGGCGTGAAGGACGAGTTTGAGCGGGAGTTGCCCGTGGAGCGGATCGTCCTGCATAGGAACTACTGGGCGGGCAGCAATGATAACGACATCGCCCTGGTCCGGGTGCGGGGCAGAGAGGGGCACTGCCTCTCCTTTAATCGCCACGTTCTGCCTGTCTGCCTGCCCGACAGGAAAGAGAAGGCGGACGTCGACAGGCGAGCCTGCATCATCTCCGGCTGGGGAGACACAGGTAAGAGACGGGGCTTTGGGGGCCAAGAAGGGTGGGGGAGTCTGGGTTCAGGAGCCTACATGGGCCATTAATTTACGTCTGTGCAACTCAAGGCCGTGAGCTTACTGTTCCTACTGTCTGCGCCAGCACTGTGCCGTTGTGTTTTCTTCTGATTTTGAGGCTTCTTGAGCCTGCCCATGGCGGAAGCTGTGGGAGAGAGCAGTGCTGCCATGTGGCCATGGTCCTCACCTCCTCCTACACGTGTTTGCCCACAGCAGACCCCTTAGGCAGCATGGGAGGCCCTGTGTTTCCATGACCTCCTGCCTTCTTTGTGACACTGTAGTAGTGAAGTGGGGGCTTGGAGGTGGAGGGGATGTGTCTCAGACTACCTTGCTCCGTCTCCCCAGGTGTTGCTGCAGGGACAGTTGGGCTCTGAGGCTGGTTTCTGCACTAGGTTCGAGACAGCCTGTGCCTGTCCTCTTGCAAGCACATCACTATGAGCCTCCTCGGTAACAGGGAGCAGGGAATATTCTAGAAAGTATTAAATACTTATCACACTCTGAAGGCGATGTTTTAAAACACTGGGCTTGGTGGAGTCCTGACATGCATGCATTAGCAAGGTCTGGAAACAGCTCTGAACTCTAAACACAGCTTTACAACCGGCTGTCCAGTTCCTCCCCCATTTGGGGCTCAGAGATGCGATGCAGGGCTTGGTGCAAGGACACCTTTCTGGGGCTGCTGGGGCTGGAGCAAAGCCACGCGTTCAGAGAGACTTGCTGCCAAAAGGCAGAAAGCCCCCAGGAGCTTGTCTGTTGGTTTTGGACTTACCCATCCTTCCCAGCTGTTTCCCTAGCTGATACCAAAGTGTTTTACTGCAAATACACATTTGCCTTTGGAGCCCACTGCTCCACGTGTCTCTCTGGGGTGTCTGGAGAGGATCAAGGAGCAACTTGGCGTGTAACTCCCTCAAGCCGTGCTGGGGCTTAATGGCTAGAATCCTTCCCATGCACCAGACCCGGCCCTCCCAGCGAGAGGTGCGGTTACCTGCTACCCGGTGAACTTACCGCACACCTCGGGCACAGAAAGGTCATACTGTAATCCAGCACGGGAACCTCATGGTCTGAGCAAGTCTGGGGTAACAGAGGGAGCTGAGCAAGCAGAGGCAAGTCTAGCCAAAGACGGAGTGAGCTGCCTTTGAATAATGTTTGGATGCCTCTGAAACATCTTCCAAAACTTCTCTGAGGACTGAGCACTTTACAAATATTACTGCCCCTGAGAAAACGCTGTCCTTGTCTTACAGAGGAGGAAATGGAGGCTCAGAGAGGTGAAACAAATTGAACAAGGTTCAGGTTAGTTGTTGGCAGAACCAGGAGTAAGACTCATCCTTTGATCTAACCTCTTTCTCCAACCTCTTCCCCGTTTCTTTGATCTTACAGCTCTTTTTTGTGGTCTGGCTTGGCAGCACTGTTTTCTGAAGCTCTGGTGGTTCAGAGGTGCTGAGCTTGGCCTATTTCTGTGCCGCAGTCTTGATGTGAAATGTAGAAATACCTGGTTTTGTGCGGAGCACCGTTGCTCTCGGTCGCTGCTGTTGTCTGTAGGTGAATTGGTCTGGCTGTTCTGTTCCGTTCCAGGGAAGTCCTATTCGAGAACCCTGCTGCAGGGGGTCGTGCCTCTTCTCCCAAGGGAAGACTGCGAGGTCCGCTACGGGCAGAAGTTCACCAACCGCATGATTTGTGCGGGGAACCTCTCTGAGGACAAACGGGTGGACAGCTGCCAAGGGGACAGCGGAGGGCCGCTCACGTGCCAGAGCTCGAGCGGGCGCTGGATCATTTTGGGGATCACTTCCTGGGGTTATGGCTGCGGTCGGAAGGACTCCCCCGGTGTCTACACAAAGGTCAGCAAATACGTACCCTGGATCAAGAAAGTGACCAAGCTACAATGAGAACCTCTGAGCTCCAGGAACTTCGAGACATGGTCCTTTTGCCCTGCAGCAGCAGGAGTCTGTGGCTTCTGGCCTGTGACTGAGTGGTGGAGATTTATTTTGTCATTGGACACTGGGAAAAGACTTTAACGTAGAACTGGGAGAAAACCAGTTATGGCTGATTCATGTGGTTTCACTGTAGTCCATAATCTCTGAGCAGAGCAAGCACGTGCACGCCGGTAAGAATAATATGGCTACGTTGCTCTGACTATCTGAGTCCTGTAACGCAATCACGCTTGGTCCTTTGCCCTGGCGCCCAGAAATAGTAGCAGTGGGGAGATGCCTGCCTCTGTAAATCTATTCCTGGTTTTGCACGGTTGCACACTTGAAAAACGCTGCGAGGAAAGGTGGGATGCCTGGAAGGTGGCACCGGGCTCTGGCGTAGTGGAAATCTTCAGATCTTTTTTTGGTAACAGCTCTCTTCTGTTCCGGGCATCGGAAGATTTGACCTGAGCTGAGGAACAGGCCAACAGCGGGGGCTTTCTCCTTCCCTGCTCTGTCTCTAGGGGGAAGCTCTTCCCTTCTGAGCGGTAGGTCTGCTCCCATATGATCCCCTCGAAGTGTCTGTCACTGCTAAGAGATGCTCGTCCCTCCTGCTGTACTCCTCTGTCACACATTTCCAGCTGCCAGATGCTATGGTTTTATTGCTGCTTTCTCAATATAGTGGTTCTTTTGTGTTTGGTTTTGTTTGGGGTTTTTTTCCTTAAAGCAAGGTGTGGAGTCACGATTTAACAGTGCTGCGGGCACTTTATCTTGGTACCTTATTCACCGTAGTTATTAGCAGCCCTTTCTTTGTGATGTTAGTCTTTAATATCTCTATGTTCACAGTTCCCCCGTGAAACATGGAAATACTCCCAGGCTAGAGACACACAAAAAACACAGGGAGTGAGTTATGTGCTTGAGGGGTGGAGCAGTAAGTGTGCTGCAAAGCAGCTTCCCGCTCTCCCAAAGGGTGTCCTGTTCTTGCAGCCCTGGACTATGCTTCCTCCCTTCTCTTCTTCGCACCATTTCTCTGTGCATTCCTCTCAGTGGGAGTAAACTGACTTAACTGGAGGGTACATGAGCAGTGCCATCAAGGTGTGGTCCTCAGCCTGAACAGAAATAATGCTGAGAGAAAGCAGAGGTTGTTGAACACTTCAGTTTCTTCCTTCCCTCTCATCCAAACGAATGAACAGTTTCCTCTTAGGCCTTAATTACTTTTGCAAGTTAAGCTATTATTCCTGAGTAGGTAGAAAAATATAAAAATAGATGGAAGGGCGAAGTGCACGAACAGCTGTGCAGTGCAGAGCAGTGTGTTCTTGCTGTGCGCAGTACGAGCTGGAGAGAAGACCGGTCTGCTGAGGAGCAGGGGCAGTGAGCTTCGGTGCGTGACCAGGGACCTGAATGTGGAGTGACACTGCAGGATGGGGCACGTGGAACTTGTGCCAGAGGTGCACGGTTGGGGTTCGCTCCTGCGCTGTGGGGTGGGCACTGCCTGGGTCGGGCACTGACCTGGCAGGGCTGCACTCAAGGCGCCGAGGTGGTCAGTACCAAGATACCACCAAGAACAGGAGACTGAGCACAGCCTGCAGATTGGCGATGTCACGTTACAGGGCATGTGGTGACAGAGTCCTAGAAATTGCCTTGGATTCAATAAGTAGTGATTGCATAAAGCTGGCCTGGCGAGGTGGCTGGTTTTTGTGTTTGAACGCTAAACTAAACAGTTCCATTTACCCCCTCCAGGGATTATAAAACAGTTGGGTTACCAACGCTGCAATGGACTGTTTAAAGACCCTGCTTGGAAACTCTGTTTTAAAAAAGAACTGTAGGGACCTTTAAAACATGCAGTGTCAGAATCCCTGCAAACTGGCCTTTGAGACATCACATCTATCAGTGCCTCTTCTGGAGGGGCTGGGGGTCCACAGCACAGCCTGTGCCGACAGCCTGTGTACAGTGCCAGGCTCGGCCCGTCGGCAGGACCGCGCCCCGGCCCCGGTTTTTTTTCGTAAAGTGCCCGAGACACAGGCTGCAGACTGCTCCTTACCTCCCAGGAATTAAAATGACGGAAGGACCGAGGGCAGCGATGTTACAGGTCCCCGAGACGCACGCTGCAGACCGCTCCTTACCTCCCAGGAATTAAAATGACGGAAGGACCGAGGGCAGCGATGTTACAGACCTCTGGTCTCGCAGGGGATTAAGTGCCAGGTTCTACACTGGCAGCAACAGTACCTGTCTGGGAAACACAGAGGGATTTGGTTTTTGCCTTCAGCCTTCCCCAAGCCAGCACGCTACAGAAGCTCAGATGGAGTTTCTGTGCCTTGGGTGCTGTCGCATCACTAGTTTAACCTGGTTTGATCTTCCAGCTTTTACCCATAACCCCAACAGGAACAGAAACACCGAAAGGGTTGAAACTATGAGGTTATTTCCCTAAGCCTAATTAACTGGTTGCCATTCAGGAATTAGAATAAATTACCGCGTAACATGAGTGAGACACAGGCCTGGCATTGTCTTCTGAAATTCCCGTGTTCTAGGTCAAAATGTTTCTTTCTCCTAGATCTTGTTGCCGTGAAAGCTGTCAGAATCCTTGTAACTAACATCCCCGAGTCCTGCGTGAGCCAGGAGGAGGGAGGGAAGTAGCCGAGCTCCTTCGCCTACTTTTACGCCTTGCTGTTACTGTCGGCACCCCTGCCAATACCCTCCTCAATTGTCCCAGCCTGTTTCAGAGAACCATTGTTGCTCTTTGCTGTGTAAACTGGGACTGTGGCCCCAGCCAAACTGGTGTGCTTTGCCGCTGAGGCTAACTGGAACTGCCAGGGTGGACGAGTGGCCCTAGGACCGTATTTAGTCCCTAACGTTGGCCAGCAGCAGATGTTTCAAAGGACAGTACATGCAAGTTTGTACTGAACAAGTTTTAACAACCTTTTCTTTCAGCGAATTTTGTTCTTGGCCCATTTAAATTAATTTTACTTGCATTACTATTATTATAATTAAAAACAGAAGCACGAATACTTGGTCCTCTAGGTGTTGTACACATACTACGCACTATCCAGCCTTTATCTTCCATATAAATGTTTAATCCCTTATTTAATCCAGCTAAGCTCTCAGCCTCAATATTTTCTGGCAATGAGAACCAATATAATTTTATTGTCCACAGCACATAATTTCTTTTTATGCTTCCTGAATTAATTGCCTTTTGTTTTCGTTGAATCCCATCTGTCCTTTTGTTCTCAGCTGTGAGAGGGAACAAGGGCCCTGGCTTCCTATTCTCTCTTGTCCATTGCTGTAGCGATAGTCCCTTTATCTACAGCTGTGGCTTCGGTCTCTCTCTTCAACCCGAACCGTCTCGGCATCTGATAACGTGCTAGCTGTCTCTCCACGTCTTCTCCTTCTGCTGGATCTTTCAGCTTGGATAACCAGAATTGAATGCAGTTTGCCAGGAGAGGCTGTGCCATCTGCTGATTATTTTCAGTATTATTTTCTATAGTAGGCAACGCTGTAAGCGATTTCAGTCCTGTAGGTACATTATGTATGTATGCTGATGCTAGCTGTAAACTTGCTAGTGTGGTCTTGGTGGCAGCCTAGCTATGACGAGATGAAAACTCGTCAAGGTTGGTTCCCCCTGTGTCTCAGGCCGGTGCAGCAGCCCCTCTCAGCTTGGAGCCGTTGCTGCAGGGATGTCCGGGCAGCGTAATGCAGCTCTGGGCAGGGAACGTCCAAATAGCTGCGTAGACCTGTGCTGGGCTGACGTGCCTGGAGGCTGATCCAGCCCTCCTTTGCAGCATCAGTTCGTTGGGTGTAAGGCTAGTGCACGCACGCTATGTCCAGGAGCTGAGAGCTCAATCACTGCTGCTGGTGGCTGCACGGTGCCCCGTGGACGCTGTGAGACGAGTTCCCACAGCAGCGCGGCACACGCTGGTTACGTGAGAGAGGGACTGTCACTGTGACTTGAGTGGGAGCGTTGGCAGGGTAGACACGTGGCTGTGGTAAGGGTCTGAGGAGCAAGTGTTAGTGCTCCAGCTATCCCTCTTTGAGGCTTTGGCCAGCTGAAGCTGGATTAAAGATTTATCCTTTTCCTGTAGCTGAGCACTGTTCTGATGGTTTCTATAAATTATGTTCTAGGCTGTAATTAATCAGGCAGCTGTTTATTAACATGGACAGGATGCCGATTACCCTTGTAATCCTTGTACCATTGTAGCAGATAATAACAGATCAGTTCCTCAAAGGCATTAGCGGAGGCATTGGTGAGCAACCAGGAACATAACTATTTGCTGTCTCAGGGGTCACGGAGGTGGGCCCACCCTTTGTCTGCCTGCCTTCCTTTCTGAACCCAATATGCCAAAATCTCTTCACCCCCCCAAAAAAAAGCCGCTGTGATCCATCAACCACTCAAAGACAGATTTTTATGCGCGTATTCAGCAATCAGGTGAAAGCTTTTGAGTGATGAATTGCACTGTGGTATTTAACACCATCTTTATAGAGGTGCTGGGAGCTTCTCGCGGCCTGAGGGACCAGAACGGCCCTTGTAGATAACCAACTTGGGACCGCTCCTTGTGGAACGAGGCACTGTGACCTGGACTAATGCACATCTCGTGGGCTATATTTTTCTGTGTTGAGAAAAGTACTCAATTCCCCATATCAAGGGGAAACACTCGCTTGTGTAGTAGCCCATTCAGTCCTGTTAAAATCCCTTTCTACAAAGCAGAGGCTGAGTACCTCTGAAATCAGTCAAGTGCCAAAACTGTCATGTGCCCTGGGTCAACACCAACAGCTCACAAGGTATGCTAATAAATGGATTATACTGTGACTGTGTGGGGCTCTGTCTTATTTTTAATAAAAGAACCTGTTCCAAGGGCAAGTTTTAGGATTTTTTTCAGCACTGAATTAAGCTAATTAAATTTCTGTATTAGTGTTATTTTTAGAGCAGCTTTAACGTGCTAAAGCATGTTACAAAGTCAGCATCTTGTTAGCTACCTTTACAAAGCAGTGCAACAGTTCTTCAAATGCCACGTTTTGTGGCCGTGTGGAGCAGGTGGGGGTATCTGCAGATCAACTCATCACACGTAAAACTTAAAACGATTTGATACATCAGCTTCATAAATTGTTGTTATGGTTGATCTTTCTATACTACCTTCAAACAAACTTCTTCAGCTTGATTTAGTCTCAGTCTAGGATTCACGTGTCGCCACTCTACGAATCAAAGCCAACC